CCAGTCGGAAGACCACCGCTCCCCACCCGTGGCTCCCTTGAAAATTATTTATATAATCTGGGTGTGGTGGTGCATGTTTGTAATCCTAGCACCCAGAGGCTGAGGCAGGAGGATCACCACAAGTTCCAGGCCAGCCTGGGCTACATGAGTTCAAGGGCATCCTGAACTACAGAGCAAGACTCTGTCTCACAAAAAATTATTTATGTAATGTAAAAATATATTTGTGTTTGATTGACTGCCAATAATAGTGATAAGTCCCCCAGGTGTAGTGGCACACCCCTGTAATCCCAGCACTCAGGAGGCTGAGGAAGGAGGATTGCTTTGAATTTGAGGCCACCTGGGCTATAAAGTGAGTTCAAGTCCAGCCTGAGCTACACAGCAAGACCTTGTTAAAAAAAAAAAAAAAAATACAATGTGGAAGAAAAATTAGGGGCTGGGGATTTAGCTCAGCAGCACAGCACTTGCCTGGCAAGTGCAACGTTGTGAGTTCAATTCCCAATACCAGAAAAAAAAAAAACCAACAACAACAAAAAAAGAAAAATTAAATAAGAGCCTTTTGTCATAGGAATTTTTTTTAAAAGTTTAAAATTTCAGTACATATAATAAATATTTTGGGGGCTGGGGATACAGCTCAGCAGTGTAGCACCTGCCTGGCAAGTTGTGAGGTTGTAAGTTTGATTCCAAAAAAATTTTTAAAAAAAGAAAAATTAAATATTTTTGTTCCAGAGAAGTATTACAAGGGATAAATAAAAGACATTGATAAATAAAAGAGTTTCATGGGGCTGGGAATATAGCTCAGTGGCACAAGCACCTGCCTGGCAAGGGTAAGGTCCTGACTTTGATTCCTGGTACCCCCCAAAAAATAATAATAATAAGAGTTTCATGAAGAAGAAATTATCTGGAAATATAATTCTGTGGAGAAAGTGAAATAGAAATACAAATTTAAGAAAATAAAAGAATAATAAAGTTCTCTTTCTCCTTTTTGTTTTCTTTCATTCTTTTTTCTTTCTTCTTTCTTTCTTTCTTTCTTTCTTTCTTTCTTTCTTTCTTTCTCTCTTTCTTTCTTCTGCTTTTCAGTATGGAGGCTTGAATACAGGGAGCACGGAGTTATGTCCCCAGCTCTTTCTTAATTGTATGGGTCTTGCAAAACTGCCCAAGCTGGCTTTGAACTTACGATCCTCCTGCCTTGGCCTCCCCAGTAGCTTGGTATGGCCTTACCAAAGCTCTGGCAGATTTCTGATGGAAATGTATTTTTATTTTCCAGAACTGACCACTCCCATCTCACAGTTTGTAGTGATGGAATGACTCTGCACAGACTTTTAAGGGGGAAGAGAGTTTGCAGATCCCTGGTCAACTCCATCTTTCCACAGACACGGCTGTGAAATAGAGAAGAGAAAGACTGCTGGCTGGAAGGAGGTTTAGATCAAAGGTGATCTTCCCCGTACTGGAGTTTGAACCCAGGGCCCCGTGCGCAGTGGGCAAGGACTGTTCGTGCTATACACCTCCAGGCCCCAATCTGACTTTTTTAAAGATGGAACATTCCAGTATACTGAGTTTGTTAAGTGTTTTAGTATCGAGACTACTTTACAGATTAGGAAGGAGAAGCTATAAGTGTACTCCAGATTCTGGAACAAGTCCAAGAAACACATGAGTCAGGATGGGTTGGGTTGATGGGTTCTGGGGAGGAGATTTCAAGTTTGTGTGTTTGTCATGCTGAAGCAGCAAGCAAGCACCCTTTCATCTCGGCAAGCTTAATGCACCACACGTTACTTCTGTGGTGGATTGACAACTGGCGGTCAACTTGTAACACCCAGCCGTGGGGGGGCCCACCTGAGGATTGTTGCTCACAGCATAAAGAAGAGAACTGGAGAGGAAGAGGTGGTGCTGCTGGTTCTCTTGGAGAAGCTTGTCGTGCCACCTTTCCTGATAAGAACTTGGCTGTTCTCCTCAGGGAAGCTCAAGTCCTTGCTGGCGCTGAGGCTGGCTGTGGTTCTCTTTGGGGGAGCTCTGGTCCTTACCTTGAGCGTCACTTCCTGGCTCCAGTGTAGATCCCTCAGCCTGCTGCCACAGACCCTTCATCCCGCTGGCACAGACTTTCTGGCCTCCCCCACTGACCTTTGGGCCTTCCCAGTGCAGATCCATGAAACAGACTTGCGTGAGACATTATCGTGGGCTCTAGGCCTCCAGTTGGACTCATCCAGGACATTGCTGTGGGACCCAGGCCCTCAGCTGGATTCTTTGGGTCTCTAATGTGTGGACAGATCTCCTGCAGTCTTTTCCTCTTGACGGGTAAATACCATCAAATAATCCTATAAATTATGTGTCCTGGCCAGGCGTGGTGGTGCATTCCTGTAATCCTAGCACTCGGGAGGCTGAGGCAGGAGGATCATTGTGAGTTCGAGGCCAGCTTGGGCTACAAAGTGAGCTCACGGCTGGCCTGAACTGCACAGCGAGACCCTGTCTCAAAAAGACAAAAAAAAAATGTGTCCTGTATTAAATTGTTTCCCTTGCAAACCCTGACTACAACGACATCCTAGCGTGGGCCCACGGGAGCCCGCTCTCCTTAGCCAGGCTTCACGTCCACAGTCCCAGCGCTTTACAGAAAGAACGAACTGCTCGACAGCTTTTAATGCTGGGTGGGAGGAACACGCATCACCTCTGTTTCAGGCAGCCTGAGATTTCCCAGGCTTACAAGTGTCCACCACGAAAAAGAGCCGGAGGCCTGGGCAAACAGCACTACTGACTACTAGGTGTCATCCCCAGCCCTGCAAATAGTTACAACTTGTAGTAATCTCGTCCTGACTTTGAGCCCAGGCAAGATGGGGTAGAGTTACATAGGTGGCGTTTTAAATTCACTTGAGCAGTACGGTTCCACCTCTGCCACTCTGTCCCTGCTGAGCCAACCTGGGAGGTCCTGCAGCTCTTGGGACACTGGGGAAGACTGGGTGCTGTTCTGGCTGTGAGATTTTCTGGGTGTAACAGGCCTAGGACTGGAATGAGAGGCAGCGGGCAGGGAGCCAGCCCAACAAGGGCCAGAGGTTGGACTTTCACAGGTTTTTGTCAGGGTGCCCGTTCATACCAGCTTGCAGAGGGCAGTCACAATTCTGCATTATAATCGTGATTTTAAAGCCCTGGCTGGTCATGGTGTTGCACGTCTGTAATCCCAGTACTCTTGAGGCTGAGACAGGAGGATCATTGCGAGTTCGAGACCAGCCTAGGATACAAAATGAGCTTAAGGCCAGCCTGGGTATCAGTAACACTCTGGACTGTGTGTTAGGATCACGAGGGGAAATTTTATAACACACTTGCCAGAGACCCACCCCAATGGGGGGGGCCAACAAAATGTGTTTTTTGTTTTCCAGCACTAGAGATGGAAAACAGGGGTGCTTTACCACTGAGCTACCGCCTCATCTCTTTTATTTTATTTTATTTTATTTTTTTGGTTTTTCTCCAGTACCGGGAACCAAACTCATGACCTTGCACTTGCCAGGCAGGCGCTTTTGCCGCTGAGCTAAATCCCCAGCCCCTGCCTCATCTCTTTTAAAAGAGGCACATTTTCGCTAAATTACTCAGGCTGTCCTTGAACTCGAGATCTTCCTGCTTCAGCCTTCTGAGCTGCTAGGATTACAGGTTTGCGAGAAAACGTTTAGAGAACGTTGGTATTTTCAAAATGTCCCGGTTGTGTTCTTTAAACCCTTACTACTCGTTAGAGGATCTGGGTGACACCTAGTGGGCGCGAACCCGTAAATGAGTTCCCCAACTGAACCCTCTCTCCTCCCAAGGGTGGGGGTTGCATCTGGTGGGGGCGGGGCACCAAGCAAAAGGGGATCTTTGGGATTTCAGCGAGTTCCAGCTGATTACTGGGGACAGGAAGCCAGACCGGAAGGTCAACTCGACTCCGAGGGCTGAGCTGCAGGGGTGGGGGGATTAAGATGTGCTACATGTGTACCAACTGCCCACCACGAATGTAATCAGTACGTACTATAAACAGGTACTAATAAGAATTAAGGCCAGGCGTGGTCGCGCACGCCTGTAATCCCAGCACTTGCAAGGCCTGAGGCAGGAGGATTGTTGCGAGTTCGAGATCAGCGTGGGCTCCAAAGTGAGCTCCAGGCCAGCCTAAACTGCATAGCGAGACCCTGACTCAAATAGACCAAAAATAAATAAATTTAAAAAAAAAAAAAAAAGATTCACTACATCCCGGACTAATACTATACAGTGATATAAAGTGTCCACAATAGATTGTAAAGTGAAAAGTCAAATTACTTTATGAAGAATAAATTACTCAGCCGCGAGAGGTGACGCACGTCTACCGAAATCTCAGCCCTGGAGAGGCTGAGACAAGTGGATCGCCTGGGTATGTTAGTGGGTTCAAGGTCAGCCTGAATTATATAGCGAGACTCTGTCTCAAAAAAAAAAAAAAAAAAAAAAAAGAAACCTAAAATAAATTCCTCTACTGTTAGAAAAAAAAAGTGACATCTCCAAAAACACAAGCCCGGCGTGGTGGCACTGGCCCGTAATCCCA